ATGATGATGTAGAATCCACACCCTCCCTTAAAGGCTGTCTGAGCCTGTGTCAGAGTAGGAGGAGCCAGAGCGTCAGACTTCATCATGTTTTGCTTCGCCTTGGTCAAAAACTGGGCAAAGTCCAGCCCAGAAGGAGGCGTGGCAGATTTCTGACTTAGTCTCAACTGAGCAGGAAGGCTGAGATTATCCACCAGTGGATTCTACATCATCATGCTGGGAAAAGGCATTCAGGTAAGACAATGCCCCTTCTGAGATAAGGTGTTTTTGGGGTAGGATGGCTGTAGGTTCATCTTAAACATTCTTTAAGTATTTCTTTCTTTGAATTATGAGAAATATCTGATTTGAATCTGACTGGTATGGCTATTTTTCATTGGCGTTTCTTCCATTAATGTTTGGTAGTGTTGATTAGGTTAACTTTTAGGAACGCTGTTATTTTAAACTTCTTAGAAGGAGGTCTGCTTTTTTTCCATCACCAAAAGGAAGATTTCTGGCTTGCAATTAATTGTTGCTTCATAATTAATCATGACTCCCCCTCTTTACCCAGGGTTCTCAGATAAAATATGGCTCTTACCAAATGTTTTACATCAATTTAGGGTGTATTAATGAAACTAGTATTGCATGTGCAATATTTCTATTAGAACAGGGCTTTTCAACCTTTTCACCCATTGTACCACTTTTAGGATATGGCAATATCGGAGTACCACCAGTCACCTAGCAAGGTGTCAAATGATGACCCCCCCCAAAAGGAAAAAAGTGATAAAGTACAGGTAGTCCTCGACTTACAACAGTTCGCTTAGTGACTGTTCAAAGTTACAATGGCACTGAAAAAAGTGCCCCCCAAGGCACAGCCAAGCAAGACACCTGTCTGCCTACCCAGCGGCGCTCTCATTTCCCTCCCCCACTATCACTTTTCTAGGATGGTCGCATACCACCTGCCAGGTGCCAATGTACCACAGATGGTACCCATACCACTGGTTGAAAAGCTCTGTATTAGAATAATACTTTTACTTAACTTGCGATTAATGGCTAAAGTTCTTGACTTACAACAGTTTGTTTAATGATCATTCAAAGTTAGAATGGCACTGAAAAAAGTGACCTATGACGGTTTTACTCAGTTACAACTGAGAAACAATAATCATGTGATCAAAATTCAGATGCTTGGCAACTGACCCATATTTATGACTATGTATATAATTTCTTAAATTTTTTTTATAAGTCATATAAACAACAGCACTATTTCCCCCTTTGACAGAAGAGACGATCTTGTGCTATGATGCTGTATTACTTTATTGGTTATACTTCAAAAATCATACCTCCACAATTACTGATTTGAACAATTTTTGTTTTCTTGTTTTATCTGCTTCTAGCTATAATCTCTATCAATCTGGATTAATGGATACTTTTATTACTGACTGCAGAAAAACTTTGGACTCTTGAGAGTGTGTAACAGTATCTAAATTATTGCTTTGCTTGCACTGTTCTGATGTCTTCACTTCTTTAATCCTGGTATCTTCACTTCTTTAATCCTGAAAAAAGATGACAAAATTAAAACCTGATTCTTATTTATGAGAAACCTCACTGTGATAATTGGGATTGCTAGTTCTCTTTTTTAAAGTAAAAATCATATGCCATGGTTCAAAGTGGCATGAGTTACAAGATGTCTGTCATACCGTTTATAAAGTAACAAAGCCTTGGAAACAGATAACAGTTTTATACAACTTCAAAGATAGAATTGTGTCATGGAAGGGGAGTTATTTTCCTCTGAAGCATGAAGTGAAGCCTCTTTTTATTCATAAAAAGTATTTGAACTAAATGACAGATAGTACTATTTTATAGTATTTATTTTCATTGAATTTGGCATCATTCGAACAATAATAATAAACAATGTCTGGAAATCAATTGAGTTGATAAAAAGAAATGTTGAATGTTATATAAGTAATAGGTGTGGGGTTTTTTTTCTGAACCAGTTATGATATGGAGTCCAGAAAAGAGTGCTAACTACAGGTAGTCTTCACTTAATAGCTGGTCTCTGAGGGACCGTTCAAAATTATAACAGATCTCCCCAGAATGTCAAGGTTGAATTGCTAAGATGCCTGTTAACATCTATTGCTACTCAACTTGCCATAGAAACAGGGGAGGGGGAAGAAGCGTGGGAAGGAAGCGGGAGTATAACAAGCTATCCACAGAGTGTGAGAGCCTATAAGAATGCCAAGTCACTAACTCAGGTGTCTTGACAGAAGTGGATCATTCTTATAACAAACCAAAGATATGATTGAGCAATGTGAATACTTGGTGGGTGGAGGTTATGAAAAGCTATTTTTAACTAGGCGGATTTACACGCAGGAAAATCAGAGCTGGGTTTATTTCTTCAGTTCTGAGATTTGTATTCAATAAAATTTTATCTTTTATGGTATTCGAAAGCCTTGAAGATTTCTTGATTTTGAGTTTGTTAATCAGACAGCTGACATTAAACCAGGTCTCTCTGTTTTGAATGCAGCCTACTCAGAGGCTTCCGAGAAGACTGTAGCATAGTGATGTCGGTGACCGAGAAGAAGATCGATGCCACCACAAAGTCTGGGCAAATCCCTTTCCGTGAGGCCTTGGCAGACTCCGGGTTGCAGCTAGTCGTAACATGGTCCAAAGTGAGAGTGGATAAAGCTGAGCAACCACTGGTGCAAAAAGAGGGAGCCGTGGCAAGATCCCTCTACACTGGCTCTAAAATCCAGTGGATGGGCAGTGTGAGGAAAGCAGCCTCATCTCCCGGGGGGTTGCAGTAACCCGAGTGTGTGTGCCTGCAGCCTGCCTGCCTGAGTCAGTGAGCTTAAGGGCAAGGAGCCACGAATCCATTTTATTGTAGCACCAAAGATGGCAGAGACAATAATACTGGGGTTGTTGTGGCTAAAAAAAGTGGAACTTGTCAATTGACCTGGGGGAGCAACAAGTGGTGACTGAGGAGCAAAGCTGAGAACAGGTGGGGGATAGAAAAACTGCTGAAAGCTAGGTGAGCGCAATTGGCTGTGAAAGTGAAAGCGGAGGCAATTAGCCATTAGCAGAGAGCAGCCCAGCAGAGCCAAGCTTCCCAAAAGAGTATCGAGACTTGGTGGAAGTATTTAGCGAGGGGGAATCAGATGCGCTCTGTCCTCACCACCTCACAGACTGTGCAATTGAGTTGCTGCTGGGGCAAAACTCCCCAAGCCAAAAATGTACCCCACGACCCTGAGGGAGATGGAGGAGTGCTGAACCTTTGTGGATAAGAACTTAGCTAGGGGTTTCATCCAGCCTGCTAAATCCAAGCTGGCAGCACCTATGCTCTTTAAGGAGAAAAAGGATGGATCATTGAGATTGTGCGTGGATTTCATGGGGATTAACAGGGTTTGCATAGAAAATATGTATCCCCTCCCCCTCATGAAAGAATGCTGGGGCACCTGTCCAACGGGAAGGTGTTTATCAAGCTGGACCTGAGAGAAGCGTACTGTTATGTGAAGACGAAAGGGGGATGAGTGGAAGGCAGCTTTTAATTACCCCTTGGGGTGCTACCAATTCCGAGTGATGCCTTTTGAACTACATGGAGCAGCTTTGTTCATGCAGCTAATTAACGAGGTGCTGCATGATCGCCTATACAAAGGGCTGCTGGTTTAGGTTTATCTGGAGTGCTGGTTTACGTGATTTACCTGGAAAGATCCCTTTTGAGGTGTGGATGGACCACAAGAATCCAGAGGCTCTGAAGACCGCAAGAAAACTATCCCCCAAGCAGATCCGATGGGCTTAATATATCAATCAATTTAAGTTCATCCTTCGGTACCTGCCGGGGGGGGGGAACTTTCTGGCAGATGTGCTATCTTGCTGCCTTAGTACAAGAGTTGCAGGGAAGAAATAGTTAACTCGATCATCCTCTCTGGGCAGCTGGCAATACAAGGGACCACGAGGCAAAGCTTACCGGCTCTGCCTCAGCCAGCTGATGGTGAGATCACCCAAAAGTTGAGGGAAACCCTGGAGGAGGATGAATAGTTTAAGGAACACAGAGAGGAGATGACAATGAGAATGGGTCTGGCCTGGAAGGGTTCCAAGCTGTATGTGCCGCTCAACTTAAAAGTTCAGATCTTGCAAAGGTGTCATGACGTAAAGCCCATGGGCCATTTTGGTTTTCTGAAAACCCTCCACCTAGCAAGGAGGCAATTTTGGTGGCCTAAGATGAACAAAGACATAGAGAGCTACATTGCTGGGTGCCCGACCTGCGCTTCCATGGAAAGATTGCCAGGGAAGCCTCCTGGACTGTTGCAGCCAGTTGCTAACCCCAGCAGCCTGTGAGAGAAGATAGCCATGGACTTCATTATGGAAGTACCTGAGAGTTCCGGTAATTTGGACTGTGATTGACCTGTTTTCAAAGCAAGCACACTTTATGGCATGCACGAAACTTCGATCAGCCCGAACTTTGGCCAAGTTGTTTGTACAGCATATATATAGACTGCATGGAGTTCCAAGGCATATCATTTCTGACCAGGGAATGCAGTTTACCTTACTGCAAAGTTTTGGTGAGAATTGATCAAACTAATAGGTTCCTCACAAGGCCGTTCTGGGTACCATCCGAGTACTAGTGGATTGGCCTAGAGAGCTAACTAAGTGGTAGAGTAATACTTGCATTGTTATGTGAATTACCAACAGACCAATTGGACGGAACTTCTGCCTTTTGCTGAAATAGCATACAATAATTCTTTACCTAGTAGCACTGGGTTCACCTCATTCAAAATAGCTACAGGAGCGGATTTTCTGCCGATGCCAGAACTGCCGAGGGAATCTCCCTCGTCGTTGTCCTTAGCTGATTGGATGGATGACCTGAAAACTACATGGAGGGAGGTGCAGAAGGCAATGGATAAAGCTATGGAATAATATAAGAGGCAAGTTGACTGGAAGAGGGCTCCTTAAGAGATTTATAGGATTGGGATCAGTTGTACCTGTCTACTAAGTATCTCAAGCTGAGGCAGCCTTGTAGAAAACTGAGTTCTAAGTACATAGGACTTTTCTCAGTTTGTAAAAGTCATTAATCCTGTAACTGTTGAACTACGGTTGCCAAAAGAATTGAAGCAAGGCCACCCAGTGTTCCATTGCAGTTTGTTGAAACAGTTTAAAAGATCTAGCTTAAGACCAGGTGGAGAGGAACCTCTTTTTCCTATATTAGTGGACAGTGAGAAGCATTATGAGATTAAGAAAATACTAGATTCAAGGATTTTTAGGGGGAAGTTACAGTACTTAGTCCAGTGGAGAGGTTACCCCTTAGCTGATGCTGAATGGGTAAGAGTACATAATGTTAGGGCTGATATTAATAAGAACGTTTCATGATAAATACCCTTAGCGTCCAAGGGAATGATGTTTGAATGTTTGGTTAATTGTGCTTACTGTTTTCCTATGTCTACACTTCTTTCAGGGGGCCAGCATGTCAAGGCTGAATTACTAATATGCCTGCTAACATCTATCCCTACTCAACTTGCCATAGAAACGGGGGAGGGGTAGGAAGTGTGGGAAGGAAGCAAGAGTCTAAAAAGCTAGCCACAGACCATAGTAAGTAGTAAGAAGCTACTTATGACCTGGTTCCAGAGCTCTGTCGTCTGCAATACCAGCACTACCTTGAGCACTCATGTGATTGTGGCTTGGACACTTGGCAAGCAGCTCACATTTACAGCTTTTTGCAGAGTGCTGCAGTCGTGTGACCATAATTTTCAGGTTTTTTGCTAATTAGTGGCATTTACTTCCAGTTTCCAGCAAAAAACACCCATTGAAGAAATTGAGTTAATTTAACAAACAACACAGTAAGTGTTTGCTTACTGGCCATCATTAAATAATTGTAAAACTGAATGCGGTCACAGTCCACTTAACGACTGCCACAATTTACAACTGTAATTCTGGGCTCAATTATGGTTGTAAATCAAGGACTACCTGTTCTCATAAAATCACTATATATATTTTTTGCATGTTGACTAGTAAACAAAAAATATAACGTGTGTGTGCACACATACAATTTAACATATAATTTATTTTCAGATGTATAACAAAAACATCTTGATGCTGCTATGGACCTTAAAAATGTTATTCTTTAATAGGCAGAAACAGACTCACATAGTTAGTCTTCTGGAAATTGCATTACTACAGTAAAGATTACTTACCACTTCTTCTTGCTTGGTCTTATCAGCTGGCCATGATTCAAGAGGTGTATCTGGGATAAGGGGAGGTAGTGGGTATATGGGCTGATTGGCATTCCCTGATTGCTGAGGGTTCATTGATTGATTTGGATTTACTGGTGGCTGGGGTTTCATTGGATGCTCGCCTGTTTGTGGTTGAAGTGGATACTGTACAGACTGATAGTGTGGAATTAATGTGTTATGCCCATTTAGTGGAACAAATGGGTTAAGACCTGGTTGCTGCAAATGTGGGTTCTGAGGGGGCTGTAGTGGTTGCATTTGATGGAGAGCTGGGTGTATTGCATGGACCCCATGAAAGTGAGTTGGGTGCATCATTGGTCCTGCATTATGGTGCATCCATCCTCCCATGGGCTCATAGCCATAACGTGGATACTGAAATGAGAGAAAAATTTAAAGTTACTCATGCACATAGAATATCAATTATTACAAATCAAACAGCTTGGTATTTTTCACAAAATAATATTATTATACAAATATTTCTATAAATTGTATTCCTGCAGTATCAAGAAAGTTAACAATTTATTCTGCTATTTGAAGGATAGTGGCTGTAACAGGTATTATTATTCAGTATGAGTTGATCACATGTAACTTAACTATACCTACTAATTTCTCCTACAGCGCAACTGCTGTATATTGCTTGACTACAGGTAGCCCTTGACTTACAACAGTTCATTTAGTTCAAAGTTACAGCAGCATGAAAAAGTGTCTTATGACCATTTTTCACACTTATGTTGTAGTGTCCCCATGGCCATGTAATTTACATTCAGATGCTTGACAACTGACTCACATTTATGACGGTGGGCAGTGTCCCAGGGTCATGTGATCCCCGTTTGTGACCATCTGATAAGCAAAGTGAGCAAAACTCACTTAACAACATAAATTTTGGGCTCAATTGTGGTTGTAAGTTGAGGACTACCTATATTTTCTGTTTCTGGACTATGAGCATTAGGTTGATTGCATCAGGAATACACATATGTGGACAAGGAACATGTGAAAATTAACTCCACAGATTGAAATACTGTACCATTTTGACTGGAGCTCTGATTATGCATAAGAAAACTTGAGTGCCCAAAACTAAACTGAGTAGAATCAGTTGGGCCATTCATTTTTTACTGTGTTGAAGGCCATTTCTTATTTTTATCAGGGGAAAAAGGTCAAGTTGGCCTTAGAACAACAACATATCAATTTTGTCAGTACTTACCTAATCTGCAGGGAAACAGTTGGCACTATTTTACAGTTACATTTCCAGCATATCAGAAGAATTTTGTTTGAACATTTTAAAGAAATTGTTTTAGACCTTTATGATAAAGATTATAAAAAATCATTTTTACATGCAATGAATCAAAAATATATAAATATTTGGAATTCATGGTCTCCGAAATCACCTGAATTTTAGGACATATTTAACAAACAGAACAATGTGGAATTATGCATATCTGAGATAAACTGTATATCCCATTTCTGTCTCCATTGTTGTCACTGTTATGAATTTATCAACAATTTCTCATAAGAGGCAAGATATCTGACATACCTGATGTCCAATTATGCCCTGATACCATTTCAAAGGTGTCATCACCTTAGAAGATACAAAAACAAGAACAATTTATGAAATCTGACAAGCAGTATAGATAGTTTACTTTGGGTCTGTCTTTCATATATCACACTCAACCAGTGTCATTTAGTAGTTAAAGTTTTGGATAAAGATGGAGAATCTAGGTTTAAGGCATTCTTTTGCTATGGAAACTCACTGGCTGACCACTACTTCTTCTCATTCTGAGTTAACTCACAGAGTTGTTACTATAGGAAAATATTAGAAAAAGGAATGCTATGTGCACCATCTGGAAGTAAGGCTAGATTTAAATATAATTTATAATTTATAAATAATTTACAGTGGTATTTTATGACTTTGGCTTAATGTGGTCTGTGAACCCAGACTGTATAAAATGTGCAAATGTTTTTAGGGTAACAAGTTTTTATTAAGATGCATTCTTAATGCATTCCAAGTATTCTTTACAAATATTTCATGCTATCTTTCTATGTCTTTAATAATTAATATTACATGCTACAGAATTAGAGCATACAGCATGTTGGTAGTATTTTATATCTACTAGTAAATTATGTTTCATTATTTTTCCTTTTCAAATAGATAGTGGACTGCTTTTAATTAAAAGCCTATGTTGTACATGCCTAAGCATTGGTTAATTATTTTTTTCTTGTATAAAAATGACTAAAAAGCCAACGTTGCATTGCTTGAACAAAGTCTTTCTTCATTGCATTGTATTTCCAGTTATAATAGCCTACAGATAAAGTGAGACATTGTGGAAATGCTAGTAATGGAAGGAATGTTAGATATAAACAGCTAAGAGATGCGAGGGGAATGCATTGGTAGCTTATTCATAAACAGCATTTATTCCAGGTGGCTAAAATCTTAGGGGGTTGGAGGACTGTTCAAAATGTTATTAGACACCCCCACTTTAATGAAGTCACTGAAAAATGAAGATTGGAAATCTTAGTTTCCAAGTTTCTTTATTTACCCCTAATACTAACATAACAGTCACCTTACTGAAGTATTGATATCTGTAAATCTTCCTTTGATCTTGCTCAGCTGACAGGTGTATGCAAATTAAATTCAGAATAAAACAAGTTGGAATGTTTTTCGGAATGTTTGGAGTGGGATGCTGAGTGAATCAAACTCAAAATGACTTCAATTCAGTGGTGGAATTCAGCCGGTTCGCATTGGTTCAGTAGAACCCGTAGCTAATTTTTTGTTGATTTCGGTGAACCGGCTGATACCCTAGCCCTTTTCCCACAAGGCCCAGAACGGACCACCAGAAGTGTGTGGATGCCACTTCCCGAAGTCCGTTCTGAGCTGGGCAGGCGTCCCAGGCCCAGAAAGACCCACCGGAAATGCATGGACACCACTTCCAGATGTCGGTTCTGAGCTGGGGAGGCCTCTCAGGTCTAGAATGGCCCACCGGAAGTGCATGGATGCCGCTTCCGGAAGTCCGTTCTGAGCCAGGGAGGCCTCCTAGGCCCAGAATGGTCCACTAGAATTGCGTGGATGCCACTTCCAGAAGTTGGTTCTTAGGTGGGGAGGCATCCCAGGCCTAGAACAGCCCACCGGAAGTGCATGGACGCTACTTTTGGTGGGCCATTCTGGGCCTGGATGCCTCCCCGGCTCCGAACCAACTTCTGGAAGAGGCGGCCGTGCAAAGAACCGGTTGTTCAGGTATTTGAATCCCACCACCGCTTCAATTCCATATTCCACTGGAACTAATTGGGAACATTTTGGGGTATTCAGCCATGGGAACAATGGGAAATTCAAACGAATCTTTTTTTATATATACTAACTTTCCCCCCCTCCTCCCCAAAAGAAGGAAAATAATTACATGCTACCTGTCACCTGACCTATAAAAAAACTTGGCCTCTATCTCTGAAAATCTACTAAAATCTCTTCAACTAACTTCAGTGAGTGGAAACAGCATCTATAAATGTGCCATCTACAAATCTCTATGGCTTCAAACACTTTTTAAAAAAGCAGATTAATATAGTATGTCAGTCACAAGACATACGTGAATTAACATTTTGGATTTCAGTGCTCCAATGTTTTATTTGAAATGAGACAAAACTACAAAATGTACTGTGTTTTGTTTCAGGTGCACGGAATGCTCTGAAAGACTGTTTTAATTTTTAGGATACTTTAAACACAGAGTTTTTAGCACACCCTTCATGAAACTGTCCTTGTTTCCCAGCATAAATAGTAAAAAATACAATATATCTTGTACTTGATCATTTCATCTGAAGGTAAGATTGTATAAATTCACTGTATTCTTCCTTGCTGAAAGTTACCAAGTCACTTGAAGAGAAACATTAGATTTAGTTTGAGTAATCCTATAATCCTTTACTGTACATGTATGAATACAAACAAGACACAAAATTTAAATTTTTTACCTCATAACTGAAATTGATATAACCAGGATGTTGTGGTAGCTGAAAAAAATGACATATTTACACTGTAGGAAAGAACCTATTTAAAATTTTAAGATATCCATTAGTAAGCATATCTGGAGCTTTAGTGGGATTAGTAAATTGAGATAGCTGCATTATTATGAAATATTAGCCAAATCCTGTACTGCTTTAAATGTATATATGTAGGATACTTTAAACTAGACACCCAAGAAAGGTGAAGTTACTATCTGACATTATAAATTGTAAAAGAAAAATAATGTTCAGTTATAGTATTTCAAACTTGAATAAAATATATTTAAACTGAATTTAGGAGTTGGAGATGAAAACTCATAAGAAAAAAGAATTCAAGGTAGGAGAATCTGTTACAATACGAAGCTATGAGGTGTGGGATTCTAACAAAATTAATAATTTTTTGAAACATGAACAGCATAAGATGGCAGAAAGAAGTGGAATAAAATGTTAAGAATATATGAAAAGAAAAAGATATACAGTATAGTATATTAGAAGAGAAGGAGGTTACCATACATATAACTGGAACTTTAGTAGTACCCTCAGGAAAACTGACACTCAAATGTTAATAAAGGATGCCAAAAACATTTTTTAAAAGATTTTTTTTTCAGATCTGTTCAAACTAATGCCTGCTTTTGAGTTAAGAAGCAAGATGCTGAAAGCTAATGGAGAAAGGCAGAGATATTCAACTCATATTTTGACTTACTTTTTTTGTAACAAGACTGTAATAGCTGGTTCCAAGATTCAAAATACTGTTATGTAAATAGCTGGGTTAAATCTTCTTTATAAAGGAAAAATCCTGTCTCTTAGCCAGATCACAGGAAAAGCTATTAGAAAGAAGATCAGAAAGGTTCCACTCTTATGTACACAAGGATGTATTGGTCCCAAATGGGAAAAATTCATCTCACTAAATCCTGATAAAGAGAGCGCTTTGAGAAACTTGCTTGTAAAAGAATCACTTTTGGTTTTAGGCACTTACAAGGATGGAGGGTATATTTTCTACCAGGCAACTGAAGAACAAGATGAAGCAGCAAAATTAAAGCCTGAAATTGATAGAAACATGGTCAAAGAATGTCTGTTTACTTTGGACAAGTTTAAATCTCTAGGACAGGGGTGTCAAACTTTTGGCTCACAGGCTGGATGCGTCATGGCGAAACAGCGCCCACTCCATTGCCGGCAATGGAAAAAAGTTGTGATATGTTGTGACACATCACATGACATTGCATGTTTGACACCCCTGCTCTAAGACCAGGGTAATGAAATAACTTGCTGTTGATATAGCTGAGCCTTTAGGTATTTATCTTTAACAAATCCTACAGAACAGATGCAGTGTGAGGTGATTGCAGGAGATGAATATTCATAGCATTAAAAACTGGAAAAAGGAGTTTCCATTTTGGTTCGGTATAGATATCAAAAAGAATGGTTGAAAACAATACGTTTCTAGAATGCAAGGATTTATTGAGAGAAGGTTTTTCAGTCCCACCTTACCTTGCTTTTTGACTAACATTTTTAGTAGATTGAGAGAATACCAACCAAGTATTTTAGTAAATTGAGGAAATACCATTCATGCTGTATTTCATAAAGTATTTGAAAAAGTATCATGTACATATAGGTAATCCTCGACTTAGAACAGTTTGTTTAGTGACTGTCTGAAGTTACAACAGCACTGGAAAAAGTGTCTTATGACAGTGTTTCACACTTACAACCGTTGCAAGATAAGTATGGAAAGAAAAATTAAGTAGGCATATAGCTCATTTGAAAATAGTAGGGTCCCCATCAGTGGTTCCTCATTGAATGGAGAAAAATATCAACTTGTGTGCCACAATGGATAGATTTTAAAGATGATACAATGAATGATTTGTATGAAAGGATATCACATGAAAGTGGGCGAACTATCATTATCTTAGAAGACAAAACTAAATTTCAAAATGATCTTAATAAATTACACAAATGGAAAACGAATAAATTTAACATAGACTAATTCAGGAAAAAGAAATTAAAATATACAGAATAGGGTGGGATCACTTGTCTTGGTAACTGTATTCATGAAAATTATTTTGCAATAATAGTTGATTACAAATTAAATAGTGTGATAAGCAAGAAAAATAGCAAATGTGATTTTTACCCTCATTTAGTTTCAGTTTCTCCCATATTGGGTCTAGTTCTAGGTGTTGCACATTAAAAAGTTTCAGACAAAAAAAAAGGCTTAAAGAAAAGCAGCAAGAAGAAGAGCAAGAGGGGATTAAAAACCAAACTAGAATTTCACGAAAAGAGAAATCTGGTAGGGCTTATAATGCTTTTCAAATATTTGAAAGGATGGCATGCTGAAAAACAATTAAGACCTGTTCTTTGCCATTCCAATATGCAAGACATAGAATAATAGGGTTAAGTTACTGGAAGACAAATTCTAATTGAATGTTAGAAAAAAATCCTAATAGAAGCAGTTTTACAATGGAATCAATTTCTCAGAGGTCATGAGTTTACATTCACTGGTGATGTTCAGGTGGAGACTGAACAGCTGTCTGCTAAGGTGTGTTTTCATTGGCTTCTGCACTGAAGAGCAGGTTAGCCTCTTCCAACTCAGTGATTGTAAAGAAATAATTTCCTATTTCTGAAAGTTAAAATGGAAACTTGTCTGAAACCACAGTCAGTATAGAAGCTAGGTGTGAATCCCAAAATATATGGATATAAAGCAAGAAATATACAATCTCAAAATATAAGTATATAAAGAAAGAAATATACAGATATTACTGTAGGTTGATATCAGTGCTAAATATTCCCCCTTAATTCAATACTTTGAGATTACAGTACTTAATAAGACTTACTGGGATTGCAAATGCAGAATTTAAGAGGCACATAACCAAAGTCCAGCTCTCCATCTTTCTCATAAAAAATCCTACAGCATAAAAAGGAATAATTTTGTCTCATAATACCATGAAGCCTTAAATATATATTTTTATATTTCCTCAATGTGTTGTTAAAACTAATTATTAATTATTAAGGGTAAAGGAGAATATTGTATCTCTGTAGAATGTCAATGGCTGAAGTTATAACCCAGGAAAAATATCCCCTTTCCACTGAAACTAATGAACCTTCAAGTGGTTAGTTTATTAGGTTCATGGAAAAAGGTAATTATAATGGATGTTTCCTGCAGTTGTATCTTGGCATGATAACACAGTATGTTTTCTCAGTTTAAGACAAAACCAACACATTCTCAGATCATCTTATATACTGGAGACTATTTCTAATATATTTCACGTCCTGCAAATTCAATAGATTTTTCCTGAATTCAATTCTGTTTCCATTTCTGACAAAATTTGCTTAGCACATACAAACCAATCCAACATTTTTTCACTATCATCTTTAAAGTCCTTATGTTGAATAAACAGAATGAAGATTTCCATGACATCTAATAAGAGAATATATTAGGGTGCCTTTGAACTTGCCTGTGGAATATCTTTATACAGGTTCTATAAGTTAAAGGATAACATATAAATATCTGTAATTTTTTGTTAATTCATGAACTCACAAAATATATTGTATATAAATTTAACATTAGATAACTTGTTGATAATGCTACTTTAAACTAAAGCCTGCTTGATCATTGAAAGGAATAAGGAAAATATGAGAAACAAAATAGCACTTAATTAAATGTTAAGGATGAATAAAGAAATGTCAATAGCTCAAAAGCAAATTTTGAGTACTCCTACAATGTGAATTTAGGTATTATTGAAATTTAGAAACTTATCTTGTTTTAGAAGCTGAAAAGTTTTATTAGATTCTTTATTTTAAACTTAAAATAAACAATACTGAGAAATATATTTAAATATAAAAGTACTAGTTGATTCATTTTTTACCATTTGAGAAGAAAAACTTATGTCAGCTCAATGTATATATATCTTGATTTGACTACAGTTTTATTCTGTAAATAATGAAAATGAACAATAAATTGAGAAAATGAATAAGCTTACCTTTGATAATTCTGTTGGATGGTTGCTTCAGAAGCCTTGGTAGTTCAAGGATTTTTTCTTTATTTGGCTCATATTTAAACAGTTTTTTCATAGGGAACAACCAATCAGCCTTCACATTTAAATATCTGTTGTATCATATATTTTGAGACATCAAAACACACATGGAAGTGAGTATTATGGTTAAAATATGCAGTCTTTCATTATGCGTGCACAAATTAAGACATATTATTTTGTTTCTTCAAATTGCCTGAGCTGGCTGACATGATAGTGGATTTAATCCTTGCTTTCATTAATAATTTTTCCAAATTGTCTTATTTTTAATATAAAATTTAAAATTAAGTATATTTACTTTATTTTTATTACTTATAAAATAATTTTTCCTTCAAGTAGAACTTGATTTCTTGGAGACTGCATGGACATATCCATGTCATTTTCATGGCAATATCACAGAAATATTTCTTTGCTTTTTCCAAAATACGTGATCTCCTGTCTTGAACCAACCTGACCGTAGCTAGCTTCTGAGTCAAGGCTAATTCTATCTCTATCAAAAATTATTTTGTAACTGTTTGTGCAAAATTATCTAAAAGAAATTAAACAATATTCCTTGAAATTAACTCTTGTTCTACATTAATGTTTTTACATAACACAATTATTATTATAGACATTTAGTGTTTATGTTGTTGTTGTTAGTTGCAAAATTGTGTCCAACCCATCGTGACCCCATGGACAACATTCCTCCAGGCCTTCATGTCCTCTACCATCTTCTGGAGTCCATTTAAGCTCATGCCTACTGCTTCAGTGACTCCATCCAGCCACCTCATTCTCTGTCATCCCATTCTTCTATTGCCCTCAAACTTTCCCAGCACTAGGCTCTTCTCCAGTGAGTCCTTCCTTCTCATTAGGTGGCCAAAGTACTTGAGTTTCAAGTACACCAGTGTTTATACACAAATACATATATACACATATATACATGTTTCAGATCAGCACAATGGAACCATCATGACCTTTGTTTTCACTCGAGAAGTCCATCTTACATATAACAAAAAAGATGGAATATTAATTTAATATAAGTAATAAAATGGGGAAAAAGCTGTCTCAGGAAAGTAAGACTCTTGAATCCATCGAGGTGAATCAAAAGAACTTTTACTGAGAAAAACTGGATGCAGTAAAGTCACATGCAATCTGAAGGTCCTGTGCAAAGCAAAAATCAATTATTTCGGTTTCTCAATCCCAAACCCTCTGACCAGTCCATTGGCAGCCAAAGCGATGCCAAGAAGATGTTTTGAGAATGCTGAGGTGCTAGGCAGATAATAGTTCACAATCAGGGTGCGACGGCCTTGAAACTTGGTGAAAACTGGATGGGAAGGAGCCCATCCCATCTCCAAAGAAAATCCCCCTCCCTAATTCCCAAGAGAACAGCAGAAGCGAAAAATATCAAACATGCCATCTCCCCACCTCCCTCAGCATGATGGTAGGACATTAGAGTACGAATGGTGGACCTGACACTATCATTTAGTTTCTCCATTTTAAAAAATTTCTAACACATATTAGCCCCATGTCTCTGATCTATAATACATACCAAGTATACTTTTCTCTCTGCATATAAAAAATTTAAAAATAGTCAATACAGAGTTTTACAAATAAAGTATATTCAGTGAAATTTAGATTTTCTGTCCAACCATATTTGTAGTTCTTTTTGTATGAATAAATAAGGCTTCCATTTGAGGGTGGGAGTTATAAGCAAAAAAATCTTTAAAATTGAGCAAAAATTTTAAACTTTACAATTATTTAGGATAAAAATAATATTATAGGTAACTCGGAAATCAGATTGCATACATTTTTAGTTGATTAGACTCAAATAGGATTTAAAGTTTCTTTGGATTTATTTAGAAGTATTAATTTTCACATTTGATTTTTTTTTTTTTGCAGTTTTGCTTATTTTTTCCACTGAATGTATCACCTTGATGAGGAGCCTAATAATATATAAAATGGGGTTCTGTGTTATAAATTAATACCAACATCTAGTGCTTGTGTCATTTATTTATGGTTATTTGCACTGTGCCCTAATCTATATCAATTTCACAGACCTTGGCTTCCCTCATCAAAGTAAAATTCTCACCTTGGAGATTCTTGAAGCATATTACATCTCAGTCAAAAAGGTTTCTGAAGACTTCTGTTTAAAAAACAACAACAACCCTATCAGCCTGGAAGTGTACAAAATTATTTCTAAAGTTCTGTAGTTCTATTGATTTACAGACAGAAACAAAGACTTGAAATAGAGACAGTTTGGGACAAAATCATTTCAAGAGTGTAGCATAAAATGATTCAGGAAGTGAAGCTACTCCCCCATCCACTCCCCAAAAAAACACCTCAAGAATTTGCTGATCTTACTTGACAAAAATCAGTGTTCATGACTTCACTATCACAAAAGCACAAGTAAAACTGGGTTTCATATGAGAATGAGAAGACTAAGCTATTGCTCACTTAAGAAAGATACTAACTTTTCATCCAAATTTGCTAAAAATCACCTGGCTGATCCTGGTATGTTTGTTAAGTCTGATAGAAATCAAACACCCTTTTGGAGTGGTTTGCTTCCTCAGATTTTGATAAAGTGTTAGGTTTTGCACTGGAACAGGCTATCTGCTGGCTGAAACCACAGTGCAAGTGAATGAGATGATTTCAAACATACAAACAAATCTACAAATGACTGACAAACAATGAATATTTTGGATATTGTAGCTGGGCCTGAAGAAAGCCTGAAGAAACAACTCATGCTGGGACACCTTTAAGTGTAGTTAATTGTCGTGCAGGAATAGGCAACATAATATCACCAATTATAGAAATATTTGGGGCATCAATCCACTAAATATGGTGTAACCAATTGACACCATCTAAATCTAAAGGGGGCAGTTGTGTTTTTTTCACCATGCCAAATTGCAGGTTGAATGATTGCTTATGAAATAAATAAACAAGCACAAAATATTGGGTTTTTTCCTTCACTCTGATTTCCTATATCAATCAGTGCCCAAACCCCAACACAAAACCCACTTATTTATCGCAAAGTGCCAGGACTGCATAGGGTACCCTCGGGGGTGGGGTGGGCATGGCCAGCTCAACATCACTCACGTCGGGCACCTGTGCGGGCATGGTGGATGCAGGAGGGCAAAGTGCATGGGTCAGAGGGAGGCCCACTCCTTCTCCATGCGAGGAGACCTGGCTTTGTAACCAAAGCATCCTCAGCAATAAGATGGGAGACCACCAGGGGATGGCAAAAGGGCCACAGGGCTGCTGGTGGCCAAGTGCTAAGGCAAGACTTCCCTCAGGCCCTCCCTCCCTCTCATTCCAATCTCCTTCCTTCCTTCCTCCCTCCCTCCCTCCCCTTCTTCCTCTCTCTCTCCCCCCCTCTCTCTTTCTCCCCCTTTCTCCAAAGTCCAAACGTGTGTGCTACTTTCCTTGCTCGTCCTGTTCATGGCGCGCATGCTTACAGAAAGGGCTCTGTGATAGAGGATTAAACAGCTGGGTGATTTTCAGCCAGTCATTCTCTCTCAGCCCAATCCACCTCCCAGGTGTGTTGTGAGGAAAATAGGAGGAGAAAGGTATGTTGGATATGTTCGTTGCCTTGAATTATTTGTAAAAATAGTATATAAATTTATTTATATAAATAAAAATAAAATTCATTCATTCATTAAATAAATACTGGATTTCAGGACCTGTACTGATTTTCTAGACACATAGGGAAACCAATCCAAAGTAAGCAGCAGGTTGCCTAGAAGATAATATGAAATCCCTTCAGAAGGCTCCGCTTTGTAAAAGATATGAGAGAGAGGGGGGCTGCCTTTAAACAAGGCCTGGCCAGTTCGTGGATTGTGGGAACCAGTGGAAACAGGGTTGGTCTAGGATTGCCAAAGTGAGTGCTTAGCCCGCCCCAGCCTACAGGACAAGATGCACCAGGTACCCAGACAATCTTCCCTCTCAGCAGGGCCTACTGACTCCAGTTTGCGCTGCGTTCTGTGAATAAAATCTTGGGAGTTTCACAGCTGAGAGTCGAAATCCACTCAGCACAAGGCCCCCGAGCTGCTCAGCTCCTGCCGCCAAAGATGTCAGGTGCAGTGGCGACAGTGACTGCTGATTCGGCACCGTCAGCGGGAGAGTTTGAGCGGGAGTGGGCCGGTGAGCACATGGCAAAGCTACCGCTCCCTCCGCCATCAGCCAGCCCTTAGCAGGCACCAAGTAGAGAACATACTTGCAGCATGAGAAATCCCTGCAGCCTCGATGAGACGTTGAAGATGTCTCTGCAGAGAAAGACCAAGATTCATTGGGCAGCTGGTGGGTGTGAGCGCTTATCGCGAATGAGTTTGGGAGGAGGAAGAGGGAGGCTGCCGCTGCCCCTCCATTGTGCATCTTCCATGGGAGTCATGTTGGAATTTAATAGCAACGTTACGTTTTTCCGCTTTGCTCATTCAGTGAATTCACATCAGAGTGTGTGTGTGTTTGTGTGTAACTGTGTGTGCCCGTGTCTCGCCTCCCATTTCCTGTGTTCCACGGAAAGGAGCAGGAACGAATAAGTAAGGGCTGTCTTGCAACAGCTTCCCTGGGTTTGGTCGAATTCCAATTTCTTCTTTTAACATTCTCAAGGGAGCAAGAGAAGATTTGGAATTTCTCTCAGGCTAGTTTAGCTGTTGGAATTGCTCAGAAGATTGGAATTTCTGCGTTTCTGTTTGTGTGTTTGCATTTTGTGTTTCACAGCCTCATGAGTTTAATGAGATTTATTCCTAAATATAGATGTACAGGAGTGGCATCTTAAAAATAGCTGTCCTCTCAGTGCACACAGATTTGAAATGTTGGTAGTGCTGGATAGACTGGATTTTTCCTTGTTGCAAAGAATGGCTTCAAACGGGAATGATGCAGGGAGCCCAATAATCTTCCCTCCTTTCTCTTTTTTTGAAAGCAGAACCAGCCTTTTATGTTAAGGCCCTGCTTGCCTTCCCAAACTCCAAATTCGCGC